CTATTGAAAAGTTGTCAATTTGCACATTGGCCCTTATACATAGGACCCATCGATTTATAAATCACCTCAATAATGTGTTAAATGATTATAGTAATAGCACATAATTGCATGGCAATTATTACATAAAACTCATTGTTATTTGCGATCGATTAATATACGTTACCAAACAACGTGAATCTCTATGTGTTACGACGACGACGAAAAAGAAATTCGAGCGAGAAAATGATGTGCGCTGACTTATTCGCAAGTTTTAATGCACCATGTGCCGCGAGTCTTTGCGAATAGTAAAAAAGACGATGGTATTAAAATGCTTCTCAATAAGACAACGTCCTAGAGGGCGTTCAAGTATTACGTAAGCGCTATAAGGGGGCAGGGGGGTCTTTGCTTTGCTTATTTTTGATGGCGGGGGGGGGGGGGGGGGGGTCGAAATAGTGATTACGTCAGCATCACGGATTCGGGTGTCATGGACTGAAGACTGTTAATTGGAATTAATATGTATACCAAAAATTCGAAAGAAAACGTTCGTTTTGTTCCTAATAGTACTTAATAAGATTATAATATTTGTACCTTACTAGTATGTTGAATACTGTGTCAATAAAGTTTGTTTAAATGATAATTATGTGCGTTAAATTCCTCTATCCTAAGCCTATTTTAGTACTGCTGCTCATGAAGCTCAAGAATCAATAAAAATATCAGAATACATTTAAAGAAAAATGCATATAGATACCAATGTTTAACGTAAGCATGGGAGGGGCGGGGGTTAGAGCTTTGCTTACTTTTGCTGACAAGGGGGAGGAGGGGGTAAATAATTGTAATAAATCTGTTTACGTAATACTTGAACGGCCCCCTCACACAATCCATTGTTTCAACATTACGTCGCACAAATTTAGTTCGTGCGGAACCGTGATCAAAACCATGAATGTAGAATAATTATGATTTTATTTATTTTTTAAGCATTTTACTGCTAGATGTTTAAATCTAAAGAAAAGTTAACTAGAAAAAAATCTTTCTTTCTAAAAAAAACCTTTCTTTACAATAATTAATTCAAAATATCCATTACATCCTTATTGACGCTTGCGTGATATAATAGCGTTGGATGCACTCAATAGATATCAATTAAAATGTAATGCTTGTCTAAAGTACGGCCAACGTGAAGTGATACAAAAGTTCATTCACCTAACACTGGCCTATGGGACTGACACAGTCTAATAACTATCTCTTTCATCCAGGGTTGGCAATGTTTAAACTATTTGTATAAAACAAGTGTTTAAAACACTGTTTAAAACACTGGAAAAAATACATACCTGTTTAATAACGTTTTATAGCATTTTGTTTTAAACACGTTTAAAACATATATAAAAAGCATTTAGATTTACTACATTATAATTAATGATAATTAAAAATTGTTGTACTTTTTAAAACTTTTTATTGACAACATTATAATTTTGAGGTATATTGTAAATTGTGATGGCAACTTCGGCTGGTGGCTGACGGGGATTACCCCAGCAGACTATAAACAATGAGCGAACGAATGAGGTAAATTTCTACTGTGAGTAAATGGGAAAAGGATGTCCTGTAGACATTATTTCCAAAAGAAATAATGTCTACAGGACGAAAAAAGGATTCGCTTTGGCAGTACTTCACAGAACTGCCTGCATCTACAACAGGGGGTGGTGGAAAAACACTCAGGGTGAAGTGCAAATATTGCGGGAAAGTCTTGGTAGGGTTAATCACCCTTACTTATCTATCCCAATCACAAAATAATTCAATTTTTAAATTCTTTAATACAATGTTTCAAAACATTTATGAAAAATTGATTTAAATTTTTTTTTTATGTTTTTTGATTTAAACATGATGTTTTGTTCTTTTTTAAAAAAAAACTTTTTTTTCCAATCCTGGTTTCATCTCATATAATTGACTCGTTCAGTCAGTCACGTCACCGCCGGGGAGCCGAGTTCGCCAACATTCGGGCGACCATTTAAAAAAAAAAAATGACACATTTCATTTCGTTCCGTGTTTTTCCGGTACTACTCGTGGTAATAACCAATAATTTTTGTTTTTTGAACTGTTGTGATTTTCCGTTTTGATAATTTAAACGATTGTTTTCTACATTTTATTTAAATATATGCCTATTAAAATGATAAAAGTCCTAAATTAAATTACATAAATAAAAAGTTATTTTCAAAATTTTGACAATCCCTGCATTGGTCAATGACCTTTCATCGACTTTGTTTACATTTTGTATCGCTTCTCGTTGGCCGTAATTCAAGCGACGTGCTGTCTTAGTACTATCGCAAAAAAAAAAATACTGCACATGCTTTTAATTTGCAAATTAATTGAAGTAGGTATCTGATTGCGGCCGTTATTTTACATTCATTTTGTTTGGTCGCGGGTTCATACCATTTAAATCAAGTAGACTCACAAATGTGCTCATAAAGTGTCGGATGCCTTATTTTACACACACGCGTCTATTGAGCGTAATTTTCAAACAACCGTGTTTCGTCCGCGCTTTGATAACAACGCCACGTAATGACAAAGCATTCGGTTAAAATCTGTGCAAATGACACCAAATATGAAGTGTCGTAAGTGTCCCTTTAACTAACAAAATTACGTAACTATTTATTTATTTATACTTTATTGCAAAAACAGCAAATGGCGGACATAATGCCATGAGGCATTTTCTACCAGTCGACCAGTAAGAGCGTGAGAAAAAACGGGGGTGCAATAAGGACATATAAGTTAAATAAACCAGGTGATATATACCAATAGAATATACACATATTAAAAATATATACTATACATAAATAAATATATGAGAACGCAGATGAATTGTATTAAGATAGTGCTTACGAACCAATCCATTAAATACAAGTTTGTTAGGAGCTTTACGTATATTGGGGGGCAAGTCATTCCAGATTCGTACAGCCGTGATAATAAATAATATGAGGCGAAGCCAGAAGAGTGGACGGGAGAAGATTAAAAAGAGCACAAACAACTCTAAGGTTCTTACGGTCACGAATAGGAAGCCATTTGAGTTATATGACGAAAACGTGAAATATGGTAGTATTTACTAAGTCGTAATAAAGCGAATGCAGTTATTGAGAAGACCATCCAACTTATTTAAAAGATTTTCAATAATATCTGGATTACAATTAGAGATTGAACAAGAGCAATCTTGGTACGAGTAGGCAGAAAAAACCTAAACCTGTATAGAGATCTCATACAATTGGTCACCCTATGCAAGACTAAATCAACATGGTCTATCCACGAAAGTTTATCATCTATAATCAAACCCAAATCCTTCACTTGAGCCGAATAAGGAATAACAACACCATAATACGATAATGAATTAACCTTAGGTCAAGTTGCGTCAGCAGACGAGAACTGCCAATGATCGCTTGACACTAAGGGCCTCGTTCACCAACTCTGAGTAAAGTTTCCAGTAGACTATTCGTCACATAAAGTCGCAAGTAAAACTTATCTCTAATTTCACGATCTTTGAGTAAAGCTAATCAACGGTTAAAGTAGCCTATAACTTATTTAAACTTCGACTGGCGAGTAACTATTTTAATTGTAATAAGAGAATTGTATTTAGTAGCTTCTGTGAGAATTTAAGCTATTTCGATACGTTACTAAGAAAATAATGGATTTATTTGATTCAATTGAGCACCAAATTGATGAGTTAGAAGACGACTATTATTCTTTACAAAGAATTCCGCGGATTCGAGTTTATAATGTCCGTGTTGATTATTTTCGAAAGGACATCGGCCAAATCATATTTGGATTGAAGTTAAACGTCTAAAATAGATATTTAAACTAATATTATTAATTAAATACAGTTTTTACAAATTGTAATTGACATAAATAAAAGCCGAGTAATATAAATAAAATATAAAACACTGCATTGACATTCATCCCAACTTGTCTTTTTTGGTAAACAATCTAGGCACTTCTTTTTTTGAAAATACAGCATTAAAAATCAACTGATAACTAGATTCAATAGGTTTCAGTCTATAATAACGATTTAATGAAATAGATTATTGACTTTGTTATTATTTTATTTTTAAATTGGTAATTTTGTTATAAAGTTGTGCCAAGATTGTTTAACAAATAGGACAAGTTAGAATGTTTTTTTAAGATTCTCCCTTTTCGGGGTAGGCAAAGGGAACTTTGCACATAAAGCCAAGTCTTTAGTTTTGTTTATCTTCGTTTTTTTATATTAGAATGTCGGTGTCGTTCATTCTCATGTTTCTTGGAGTGTTTGACACGAAATTTATTGAGTTGGCTTTTCAGGTAAGCTTCTGTGAGGTAGTCAACACTACAATAAAATTCTCACGTCCACTTGACCCGAATAGCATATATTTTAAAAACTCCACTAATTCTTCAGTTGCGCAGACGGTTGTAACACAAAATCACACCAATTTTATTTCACAATATCCACTGTGAACGAATATAAGAATAATTAAAATAAGACGCCAACCGCCCTCGATAAAATCAAATGACTTCGCTTCTACATTTTGAATTTATCTGTGATAGTGGTATACTTGTTATGATTTCTGTGCAAAAAAACAATTTATGTAATGAAAAAATGTAATACAGATACGTCATAAAAATGTCAAAATAAAATAACCAATAAATGTTCAGAGCAAAATATATTTTTTCTTCGGCTTTCTTTCGTGGTGATTCTTATATATATAAGCTCAATAAATTACGAATCTAATGATATATTATTTTTTGAAAGACGCAACAATTTAATTTGAAATAAATCGATGTATTGACCGATGTCCTTTGATGATCAAAAGTTTTTTTGCTCGACTTCTCGCTGCTCGGGAGTCTACTTGTATTTTATACGTCAATGGTTCATACGGATAAAATTTGGGTGAACTAAAAGCGCTAAGGAAGATGCGAAAGTTTTTAAAACCAATAAGTTCTACTTTTAGATTCCAGCCATAAAGGTTCGGAGATGCTGGCGAGTTACCTTAACATTATAGTAATATAAGTTATTTACGGGATTGAGTTTTCGATATTTTGGCACTGTTGTAAGCGCCATGATCACGGAGTAACTGAAGTAATTGCGGGTAGGCTGTTATTGGCAGACATATCGGTGTACCCTCCGACGAAGTCTTTTATTGCGTTCGATACCCGTACCACTGTTCACATTCTCACTATTCACTCGAAACTGTTCTCGACACATAACGCTTACAGTATCGGATCGCGACACGACATATTTTTGATTATTTTCGGTTTTACACATACGAACCACAGGATTCCAGACACTCGACCAATTAAACCCGTCCTCACGATTGAATTTTTTATGTTTTGTTATTTCAATCGCTTCCCTGACCATTTTTGGCATGTAGTGGCGTTCTGTCGAGATAATCTGTGGGTTATGAAACTCAATCCAGTGGTAAGGCTAAAAACAAGGTACATGGTAACAATCCCGTAAATAACTTATATTACTATAATGTTAGTGACCATGAAAGTTTAAAACAATATATTACCTTAACATTTTCGTAAGCGGTGCCGACGCGTTCCTCGATGGAGCGGAAGGAGTCGGAGTTGCGCATCTGGCCCAGCTTGGTGGACACGCCCGCCGTGATGCCGCCCAGGATCGAGGTTGTCTTCTCCGCCGTCGATTTTATCACAGATTCGGTTTTTTGGTATCTGATGGTTGAAAAGACAAAAAAACTATCAAATATTGGTACTTGCAATCGTAATTGTGTTCTCAGTGCTCAACGTGCCTCCTAAAATATGGGGAAACTCGATATAGATTTATTATTGTCAGTCCGCCAGTGACTGGTCAGTGCGAAAGTTGTTTAACCTCCGCAATGACAAACTATATATATATATAAAGCATTTACTGCTAGATGTTTAAATCTAAAGAAAATTTAACTAGAAAAAATATCTACGCGTGCCAGGCAGCAGACGGGACCCACACCCTTTGCTATCCGGGCGAATGCACTGACTATTATATTACCGCGGCCCTGACGGCCGCGTCAAATTTTCTCAAGCCTTTCTTAGGCTGCAAGGCAGCGCACTCTCTTCGCATTGTATAGCTACGCAGGCATTATAAGATATTTTACCTTATATTATCTATAATAAGTAATCTTTCTGCCATTATAAGTAAATTTTACTGTATACTGCATAAGTAATCTGTCTATATTTATTTATAAATTCGATGACAAAGTGAATTGATACAATTGGGAACATGCCTATTGGTAAATACTAAAAGAAAGCAAGTCGTTCTGAGAAACCTGGCAGATTAAAACATTGAAACTTCTTCTTACAAGATAAAGATCCTTATTTCATAGAAACCAAATAAACTTGTAACAAACAGACTTCTTTAATAACCTCTGTGAATGTCCATAAGACCATTCTGAGCTCTCACAAATGTTAGCAAATAACGGTGCTTAGTAATACATTAAAAAACAAATCTAAAGAAATGTACAGCACGTAAGGTAATTCGCAACACTGACAAAAAAATATAAGATTTTTTTGTCTGATGATGTGTCTGACTTGTTAGGTTGTGTTAACTAACGGTGTTATTGATTAATCATCGACTGTGCTTTCCATTTGCATATTATTATCATAGATTTTAGCCAACAAATGTCATCATCACAGATTTCGATGTATGTTTGTGGTCATCATATTTAAATATAATATTGGTTTACACTGTCTTTAAAGTTAAAGCCAATATCATAAGGCGAACACTATATAACCAAACACCAATAGGTATTGAGAATTGTTTGTTATCAATACATATTTCTATTAATACACAGCGGTAAGATCGACCAAACAAAAGCATTCCAGACTCACAGTCAGCAACCGTGCAATATTTATTGTAGCAGTTTTCATTGCAGTATTCAGATTAGTGTGCATTATTTATACATACAATAAAATGGTAGGAAATTCAAAACTGTATATTGAATATTTTTTTAAAAGAATACTTGGGGTGAGATCTACAGTCGACACCGAAGCAAAAAATATAGTATTTAGAATTTTTGTCTATTTGTCTGTATGTATGTCCGGGATAAACTCAAAAAGTACTACATGGATTTACTTTAAATTTGGCACGAATATTATTAAGAAGTCGGGTCAACATATAGACTACATATTATCACGCTATCACCTACGAGGAACGAGTAGTGAACCTTTATTTCTAACTAACTCCACGTGTACGAAGTCACGGGCGGCCACTAGTTAAAAATACAATCATTACACGCGAGTGAATATTGATAGTTATAATTATTGTTATGAATGAGTAATCGATGAGCAAAGGTCTGATATATACGACTTTGGGCGATTATGATCTTTATCACAAGTGCTTAAAGTTGACGCTGACTAGTTCGGTATCGAATTCTCACGCATCCGTTCATATTATCTCATTTTATTATTAACTTTTAACGCAACTGTTATTTAGTTTAAAACAAGGTACATTGTTGACATAGTTAAAATTTGGTTAAAATTAATACACCTTTTCCGATACCTGCTTATTATATCACTGGTAATCTTTGATCTGAGCCGATAATGTAAGCAATGCAAATACCTACTATTATAGACATTATTATACAGGGGGTTTAATATAGCGAAATTTCATGAGTGATAAGTATATTATTCATAAGTTTATGTAATTCTTTTCTAATCCAAAAATATTTCAAGATACATCAAATGAACTATTAAATATTTAAAATGTGATAGCTTAGTAAAAGAATGCGTAAAATGACTACTTAGACGAAATGACATTAATGTAAGAGTTCAGTTTAGAAACATTAATTAGTTGTTTAATGCAAATACCGCTTTTTTAAGACACCGAAGTATCAATTTAACTAAACGTTTACTTCGACGATACGTCCCTAATTATGATACAGTGTATATAATGAATTACCACAACCGAACTACTTAGGTGCCTAAGATACCTTAGTGCAAAAGATCAAGGAAATAAGTAAATACATGCAGCAAGCGTTACTACTTTAACCTTTACTTCTTTTCGGGATAGACTCATATTAACATAACTTGATAAATCAAAACTATTATATTGTTTATTAAAAAAAATATGTTAGAATCGTAGCACTGATAAAACTTATATTATAACACATAAACATATATTTACTCTGCATTTTACTAAAAATATCATAAAAGAAGTTAGGTCGGTAAGGTATAGTTACCAAGCATATTTTAAATGCCACCACATCAATACTTACATGGGTGCTTCAGTCACAGCCTGTGTAAGCGCGGCCACGCGTGTTTCTATCGATTGATAACTGTCGTACAATAAACCAAATGTAAAATCAAACAAATCTAATCAGCACGCCATCCACCTTTGTTTCTCAAACACTATCTAGGTATCGACAAGCAGAAGCAAAATTAAACAGGAAAGCTTTATAATTAATAAACAAACAATGTGCCAAAACCTCGAGAAAATATAATGAGATGAGTCTTAAAATTTACAGAAAAGAGCAGAGTGCAATAAGTGTAAATATTTAAAATAAAATATAATTTATCTGAGAGTTGAAAGCGAGTTTTAATAAAAACCAATTGCGTTTGCGTAAACAGGAGATTGTATGGCATTCGTGAAGCGTCATCTGGTGAAAACTGTAACTTAATAATAACAAAGGACTTTTAGGTGAACGCAGTAGGGTTTAAAAACTCGCACTCAACACAAAACACACAACACAGTTTACGTACACTTGGCTTTCCTTCACATTTTTCAAACCCTGGTTAACATCTTCTGTGATCTCTTTCCACACAGTGATGCCAAGTTTTCGTTTTAATTCGGAACTTTGACGGATCTGTGAAATAAAAGTATTCCTTATAAATTGTCATAATACCAATACCATAAATTAGTTGCCACCATCAAAAATACTATTATTAATTAGTGATGGTTGATGGAGACTACTTAAATGATTATGTACAGTCAGTAACATATTAATTTATCTCATATGTCATATAACATAATACAGGCCCTGTCAGAATACCAGCGTGCCGGACACGTTTACTTACATTATTATTACTTTTACATGTGCATGTGCAGCAGCATTATGATGAGGCAGGATCCTGCCTGATCGACCAATATTATAACTTTGTTAGGTTTATTAATGTTTGTGCTGCTCACTTTTTATATATGTTTTTATTTCCAACGTTTGTAATTATATGCTTATGTTTTTATTGGTCAATAAAATGGTTCTCATTTTCTCTCTCATATTATCTCAATGGAATCTTATACCTACAAAATAAAGATCGTAGCATAGCTCAATGGCAGCTGTAGCATTTTATTATTTTAAGGCAATATGACCTGTGGCTTTCATTCCAATCAGATTAATCCCCACATTAATCAGACTCGATCTTTATAATTTTCAACAACAGCTCTTTGGGTACCCACCGTAAATCATCATCATTTAACTATACGACGCTCAATGCTGAGCATAGGCCTCTCTTAAAGATCTCCACATTGATCGGTTATAAGCTGTCCGCATCCAGCGGCTTCCCGCAACCTTCACTAGATCATCAGTCACCTGATAGATGGCGGGCCTGGCCACTGAGCGTCGTCCGGCGCATGGTATCCACTCGGGAACCTTTCTGGCCTAGCGGCCATTGGTCAACGAATAAGAAATGATATGGAAGCATTACTCGCTAACAAAGGCCGCTAAAACATGGGTCCAAAGTTCAAACTCGTACAACTAACTACAATACTAACGTGAAACTCACACACATAAGAAAATATTGACAAATCAAGTACATCAACCTGCAAATGGATTCGGGTATCCATTCATTGGGAAATAATGTTAAACGAAAACCCCAACTAATCCAATGATCGTGTTGATCGCAGTTTTTTCCCCAGCCTACTGAATCATAGTTTGCGTGGAACCACTTTAAGCGCATATTATTTCTAATTCGTTGCCAACGGTACTGTTAATAAAATGCAAGTTACTTTGCTCTGGAGTACGGTGCGCAGAGTGGCAATTTCGTCCTCGACGCGGGCCAGCTCGCGGCTCCACTCGGCGCGCAGCTGCTCCGCTTGCTCGGGCGTCAGGCCCGCCAGTTCGTCCGGCTGCTGCGCCTCACCGCCCGCGCCAGCGCTCGCCGCTGTCGCCATCGCTTCTTCAGCTAATCATAACATAGATACAAACATTTAAATGTCTAGTATTTACGCACAACAGCATAGCACAGGCTCAAGCACGAATTTTGACAGCTCCGTAATCGTATCGCATCGTCAGTTTCTATGAAAACTAAGCAGCGACCTACTAGAAAAAGATCCAATGACCGCCTGACCTTACTTATTTGTCATGGACAAAATATGGATATAATTGAGTAGTATTAGTGTGTAAAATGAACATACACATACTTGCTTACTTGTATTGTGGGCCAATTTTCAGGTATCAGGTGCCATAGACACGTAAAAATTTCACTCACTGTAAGAGTCTGAGGACTGATTCCTATGTATGTTGTAGAGAATATTGTAAAAAATTTGAAATTAATACTACACATTTTTTCAGCAGTTTTTACTGTCAGACACTTCAAATGTCGAAAGCAAAACTATACACGTACTATACCGGATGTAAGAACAAACTAGCTCCTTCCATCAACGATATTAAATACCCTAGATACAACATCACGAACAAAATCGTGGCTGTAACATGATCGCGTAGTCAAAAACAATAGAAGGTATTATCAAAACATTTAAAGTCACCTTTAATGTATACTAAATATATATATCTTCTATATCTATCTATACTTATAATAAATCTGTAGAAAGGTCAATTCTGTACATGAAATATATTTTCAAAATAACTATCAGGGGGTGATAAGTGATCAATACTGATGCCAAAAATGCAATCAGTAAAATTTTTGTCTGTCTGTCTGTCTGTCTGTGTGTATGTTCCTTATAGAAACAAAAACTACTCGACGGATTTTAACGAAACTTGGTACAATTATTCTTCATACTCCTGGGCAGGTTATAGTATACTTTTCATCACGCTACAATCAATAGGAGCAGAGTAGTTAAGGGAAATGTTGGGAAAACGGGAGAAGTTACTCCATTTTTTAAGCTTCCGTCGCGTGTGGAGCCTTAATGGTTAAAGTTACATAGAAATCATGTATGACGGAAATATTCTACATAAAATTGTCTAAAAAATATCCCGCAACAGCATATGTCTATCTTTTATGGTTGACTCACAATAACATGTGTAACTCCTGATAGCTTAGCAGTACGGAGCATTCTGATTATATTTGTTTACTCTTACGTTTATAATACTCTCACTCATCCCTAATTTAAAAAAAGTTAACATTATTACCTATTCAATAAAAAAAGAATCATAGAAATCGGTATAGAAACACCAAACTTATACATGAAATAAGCCATCGCGCCGTCGCACGTGAATACTGAATCATGCTTTAAGGATTATTTTTGTGTAACGGCTGCCGCGCTCGACACGGGTCGTGGCGGCGCGGTAGGGTATAAAAAGGCGGGAGGTCCGAAAGCGAGCTTCCCCGCCCCCCCGATCCTGAGAGACCTTCAGTCGCTCAGTCCCAAACCGATACGGATGCACATCAGGGTGCATCCGTCCTCTAAGCGCACTATGCAGTAGTATTTACTAAGGCAGCGCTGCATCATCCCCTTCTCAGGGGTTGATCGCATCAGATGAAGCCTGTAAGGCCCCTAAGGCCATAGGCACCCCCCACGGGTGTGTTTTAGTCAGTAAGAGTCTGACATAACCCTACAGCCGGCTGTAGGGTATCCATGAGGATTTCACACCCGCTCCCCCGCCTGGGAGGAAACAAAAAAAAAAGAAAGCGAGCTTCATTCAATATTTGGCTGTTGATGCGTTCAGAGCGTTCGACCTTATTGACAGACAATAATTGATATTGAGAAACCGTGCTTATCTTAGAATAAAAACCAAACATTTGTAAACAAAATTAGCAAATAAATCATGTAAAACGTGTAGAAAATGAGTACTGGAAAACGGAAATATGAGAATTTTAGTTTGGTTATAAATACAGGTAATAAAAATGACCGTTATTATCAATCTTTATATATATAATTCTTCTGTGAGTGTGTATGTCACTGAACTTCTCTTAAACGACTGGACCGATTTTGATGAAATTTTTTGTGTGTGTTCAAGGGGATCTGAGAATGGTTTAGATTCACAATTTTGTCCGCTGGACAATGTTTTTTTACAGGACAACGTCTGTCGGGTCCGCTAGTATCTTAATTAAATCGCATGCGTCAAAGAGTTATGAATGTTCGAAATGCAAACTCGTTAAATTTTACGACATATTGCTATATGTGGAAGAAAATAGACCTTATTTCTTTGTGTCTACGCGCTATTCTGCATGCGCTGTTAGCACAATAGCAGGTACGGACCGTAAGGAAAAGAGGCGGCAATATTACCGACCGCATTTGAATATTACAAATATTTTCCATTAAATCAGTTTATAGTAAGTATTACAAAAAAAATTGGTTCAGATGCGTTAAATTAACAAACATTGATTAGATACCTGTCGAAAAAACGATACTTTACGTACTAAACGTATTTCTTTTTTCGGATTTTTTTACGGAGTTTTTTTCAACTAATTTTCAATATATTTTTTCTAAATTATCGAAAAAAGTCGACACTTTACGAACAAGTTTCGCAGCATCGTTTAAACTAAATTCGATGCGTAAGCAGCACAATGAACATAATCGGCATTCGGAGCATGCTCTATTATTAGGGTTTGTAATCCTCCATAAACACTCGATATAACATTGGCTCCATCGTAACCTTGTCCTCTATATTTAGTCAAATCAATTATATATTCTTTAATCGTATTTAAAATTTCACTTTTAAGTCCTACATTGCAATCTGAGACTGCTGTAAATCCCAAAAAGGACACAGATTTTTTAATTCATTAGGCATAATCATCATTTTCTGTAATCGAGATATATTGAAAAACTACAGAAAGTTGGTAATTTTTTGACAAGTCTTGTGTTTTATCTAGAATTGTTAACAGAAACGACCTTTTTTAATTTCTGGGAAAATATTGGTCCTAATACTGCGGTACCAAGCAAATTAATAATTTCTTTTTGAATCGTAGGGCTTAAACAATTTATATTGCCTTTTGGTTAGAGAAAAAGTTTCTTTTAAAGTTACATCATAATTATATAGCAAACGTAAAGTTGTCATAAATTTTTCAGAATCAGAATCATGGCCTCTTAAAGGTAGATTGATTAAAGTTGTAGAAGATGCTAAAGTAATTATAACATTGATTATACGATGCAATACATCTCTCCAGAATGTAATTTTACTTTTGATTTCACTTTGCAATAGAGTATCGATGGTATTTCCTTGTAACCAATTATTATGAGATAGGGATGCATTAATATGCTGCTGTGACTTTTCATGGTCAAGTATAGTTTGCGTAAAATTACTTCTAACGGAAAGACCGGTAACCCATGTAGAGGAGTACGTTTTGCTTTGAGGATAACCAACAGAAGTGGCAATATGGTTTGTTTAAAACATTAGAATAACATAACCATGGTCTTGGATTTTTTATGCCTGCCTTATTGAAACATGAATAATAATAGACCAAAGAGGTCGGTTACTTTCTGAATATTTTGGAAACACTTTCTGTTATTTTTTTTCTTTTGGAAGCTCTGCTGGGATAATCTCTTTTCCTTTCACTCGCTGTTTTTTTATAAATCGCTACTAATACTACTAAACCAGTAGAACAATTGTTTGTATTGTATAACAATGTAATACACAAGTAAATAAAACGCGTCCATAAACACTGCTCTCCGTGGTTTATCATCGTATCGTATATACATCGATTATTGTGAGATTCCCTCGATGAAGTATATGATTTAAAAGGGAAAATTCCGCAGCCCGCGATAACCGATGTAGGGTGTTGCCAACGTACTCTTTACGTGTGAAGAAAAAAAAATGCTTTTTTCGACTTATGTTATGGATACGGCGGTAGCTGCGCCACTGTTGCCTTCCATACAAAATTTAATGATGACGATACGATTACGGAGCTGTCAAAATTCGTGCATGGGCCTCAAGTGTCAAAATAATACGGTCAATCGTAACATGTAAAGATATGACGTTATATTGCTCCATGTATTTGAATACTATTCAACATACGTAAGAGTCTCGACGACTAAATGGGGGGACCATTTGCAAGGTTAGCGAATTATGGGTGCTTATTCGAATCCAGTCTCTTATCCAAGAAAGGTGAAGTAGGTACTTATAACTAGTCGATTTCCAATTTCAAACAAAACCTCAGGTTGAAAACCTATTGCATACGTTAGCAATATCTATTCAATAACGAGAACGTGACATAGTCTGAATATAGGTTGTGTGTAAGCGATATAAATATAACTAAAGTACAAAAAAGGAAAACCAAAATAAATTAATAAATGGCTCCTACATAGCAGTTATTAATTTATCACAATAGTTCATATTTTGACAGAATATAGCATCTATGCAACTTACAATACCTGTGACTTTGTTTTGGTGTTATAAAAAGTTAAATTACATTATACATGTGTAACCGATGTGGGAGCAGCTGTATAGAACAATCTATTAAATGATGAAAGAGCAAAAAAATTATAAGTTGAATTAATTAAACGCTAATGAAATATACAAATTATGAGATTAATATTACAACAAAACAAGGAAAATTTAAATGGCTAACTTTCTCAAACTTTACAATACTTGAAAGAATTGTTACTTAAACGGAGTTTCTATCTTTGATTTTAAGCCGGCTTTTAATACATAAATTCTGTTTGACAGCTGTCTACATCAGTTTTTCTGTAGGCGAAGTCATATGGCACAATTAGGTATATTATTACAAACGCTTTACAAATAGCTTGTAAAAACAAGTCATAGTAAAGACTGACAGAAGTCACAGGTCCAATTACCCAAAATGCCAAAATTGACTTTGCTTTTATTTATTTATTGCTTGAATTTATTTATATAAGAATCATAATCTAGAAATCACTTAACAGTTTGTGAGATTTTAATCTGAACATTATCTAAAGCACTCAGCAGAGCGTTCAATTACATTTGAGAATTAATTAAGTTATATGATGTCAATAGAATTCCATTGTTATCGTAAATTAAGAGATGCAACTTCAGTCAAACCCAAAAATAAATAAGACGTTTCTGAATTATAGCCATAAAATTACTGTGATTCATTTTGATATTTAATTTATGCACTGTTAAAATAAGCACTTAATTAAATTTATACCGTAGTCGATATACCTAGTTTTTCCAATATTTTGAATCATAAATAATTTAAAAAAAGATTACAAAAGTTTACCACATTTTATCGAAATTATTGCATTTGTGTGCCTGCATGAACATAAAATAAATCGTGTAATTATTTTATGTAAACTCGGTCAAACTATCTAGGTCAGGGCTCAACTTATTAGTTATTATTTCTAATAAATCAAAAATAATACAACAAGGTACGTCAAACGAAATTCTGTTTAGTGAATAAGAAGAATGCAATAAGTGACAAATACAGACAACTTCGTCAGAATCACGTCTACTTTAGACGTTCATTATAGTTGCAAAATCTTCATACATTTCAAAATATCCAAATCCCACCGTAAGTTGTGCAACTTAAGTAATTATAGTTCCTCTGAACCGTAATATTTGTTTGTTCTTTTTAAGACTTTGATACTATGCTAATAACATTAATTATAACTTCAAATACATACTATAAGGATTATTACTATTGAAATGGGTTTATTATATTGCAATAATAAATGAATAGTTTTCACACATGGCGACGAATAACTCACATATTAGAAAGATGAAGACCCAAATATTTGCAATACGATCTGAACTTCAGATACGTACGTACGTTCAGATTTTGAACGTATTTTCATTCACAGAAAGTTTAATGTACTTAAGCCCAAGAATAAAGGTAGTATGGTGTGGTATGATGACGCTGGTATGACTTTTAACGATACCCTATTCATTCAAATTGTTTATATATATAGTTAGATGTTATAGCTGAATAAAGAAACGCACATACATAACAAATAGACTTGCAACGAATATTCGGTTACTATTCGGTATTCTGCCTATTCGGCTGTTTTTATTATATTCGGCCGAATACCGAATACTTAAATAATAATATAGTAAAATGAAATATTAAAATCGATTGATTACGTATATATTCATATTTTCATTTATGTTATATAATCATTTAAGTAGTCATTGGGACATAACACAGGTACATAATCATCTTCTGAATTGGAAATATGGAGGATTCTATGTATTTGAATTATTGTGGTAATCAAAATTTAGAAGGGTAAGGTTCTCATTTCTTTTATAATCATTTATTAAGTAGTCATTGCTACATAAAACAGGTACATAATTTAATCATTTTCTGTATTAAACAAGTTCACAGTTTTTAATTCATTCAGTCATGTGATGAATGGTTACATAATAGCAATAATTTAAAGTTTACGCGCCGTTTTTGGCCATATCTCAAAAGTAGGTTTTGTCATTTAGCCGCATTTTAGCTTGAGGACGGCAGATTAGAACAAAACAAAGGAGCGCGAAACAATCACGTCTGTACAAGTTTTTGGCGCTAAAATTCAGCCGAATACTTTTGCCTAATATTCGGCTATTCGGTCAGGGGCCTCGCCGAATATTCGGTATTCGGTATACTGCCGAATATACTATTCGTTGCAAGTCTAATAACAAACATACATGAACCCTGATAACATTTTTTTGGCAGTCGTGCGAAAAATTTACAGTAACTGTGGCTAAAGCCTTTTCAGGGGTGCTGATTGTCTATCTCGTATTTCCCCTTAACGTTAAAAAAGCGACAATAATTTTATCACTTTCCTGTGTATGAAATGAAAGGGATAGCGAAAGTAGTATAGTTACACAAGTTAGGTCCCTGTTGACAGTTCGCTATTGAACGAAACACAAGTCCAAGTTCAACCAACCTCGACATTCAGTTTAGAATGAGAAGTTAACCGAAGTATTAAATGTAATGAACACTGCTATCACAAAAAAAATGTCCATAAACAAAAGTTTGACGCTCTTTTTACAAAATTGCTTGCAAATTGAGACACACCTAGGAAATTAAGTAAACTACTACTGTTTTACTCACTACAACTTCTTGTTAAATGAGCAAGCAAAAGTAAAACAATATAAATATGAAATTAACTAACCTCCAACTGCAATACCTAAAAACTTTTTATAATTCGTGTGACTGGACACTTTGGCAAGATAAGGCTTTGAAAGATCCTGGAACGTCACTCTCACTTCACGCATTTTCTTTCTAAATATTCGTAATCGTCGGCGACGATTGTCCATGTAAAACTCCGTCTCAATACACAGGGAGGACTCCGTGAGGTCCGGTAGAGCGCGCCAGTCCGCCTCAGGGTCGTCATGTGGCCAGCTCGATATCTCTTCCAGTTCGTCCAGCTCGTCCACGGCCACGTCGAAACTGGGCGTGGAGTCATCGTCCGGCGGCACGAAATACGGGTCTTCCATATACTCCAAGCTCGCTGGCTCAGCGCCGCCGCTAAACGCTCCAACGCTAGCCATACCCCTATCCTCTACCTGCCGCGTCTATCGCGACTGTATAACATATTTTTGAGATTATCACTCGAATCGAATGGACAGTTTATGTAAAGCACCAAATCCGATGAAACATCGGGTGCGATATTGGGGTTACAGTTTTGAGATTGATGGAGTATTACATTGTTAATTAATGATATGTCCAATAAGCAGCGCGATTTTCGCGAGGCGTCGAGCTCTCGCGGTATTGTGTACACAGCCGGCACGCGGCGAGTTGAGTCGGTTTCTTCCGCCACGTCGGTGACTCGGTGTGGTGGAGCACGCCCGCCCGCGCCCGTCTCGCGCCGCTGCCCGAGTGCTCGTGTTTGCCACTTTCACCAACTATCATGCGAGCTACAATCTTTGGCATTCCAAACAAAGAACGTGACCTCTGATTAAAAGTATTTTGTTAATGTAACGTAACTCGATATTACCGATTTTCCCCAAGTTACATCAATTGCAGAGAAATTTCAAAAATAAAAAACCAGTTAAAAGCAAACCGAACTCACACGAAGAGTTCGAGAGAACAACAAGATTAAATCATTTGGAATACAGCGATTGTTAAAATCTAAGAAAAACACCTGTTTCGTGTATAAACCCAACTAAATTCTATTAATATTACTTGTATAGCGTCAATAGAAATAAGAAAAAAATACATTTTAATTTTATATCTAACGGTTCGGAACGGAAGCAGTCTGCTGACAGGCGGAAGACCAGCCCGGGCATAATAACAGGGTTCCATTGTCACTTTTCGGAGCGAAACTCTAAAAGAGTAATATACTTCAACTAAGAATGTACGATGCAGGTTTGAGATTGTACAAAAAGGAACAAAACAACACAAACTGAGCTCACCTCGTACAACCAAAGTTTATTGACAGCGCCCGCGGCAAACGAGTGGCGCGAGGCTGCTAGCTGGACCAGGAGTTACGTCATTTTAGACTACCAAATGGGGCAAAAAATACGTGGCTAAAATGTGTGCACTGTGAGTCACATTTTGTTAAGATGCTCAATACAGTACAAAAAAATGTACCCACATAGAAACTAAATCATTTTAACAGCATTGAGTACCAGTATTTCGACATAGCTGAAGTGAAAGGTTTCATTACCTGAACATTTTGGTCTTGCAACCTTACTTAAATTCAACTGTGCAATTTAAGATTTCAGTTCATGTTGCTGTTGCGTTATAAACAATTACACAAGTCATTCGTAACTCATTATTATTGTTAAATACTTAGAGCATGCTCTAAGAATAAATATACAATCTATACATATAATAAAATGGTAGGAAAGTCAAAACTGTACATTGAATATTCTTTTTAAAGAATACTTGGGGTGTGATCTACAGTCGATACCGAAGCTAAAAATATAGTTTTTAGAACTTTTTGTCTGTATGTATGTGCAGGATAAACTCAAAAAGTACTGCATGGATTTACTTCAAATTTGGCACGAATATTATTAAGAAGTCGGGTCAACATAATAGGCTACATAATTTCACGAAACTCTACCCCTTAGGGGGTAATACGGGGGTTGGAAGTTTGTATGAAAGTCCTATGTTTTTGAAGTAAGAGACTTGAAATTTAACATTTATGCTCTATAGATGGTGTAGAGGTGTACTAATAATGTATCTTTAGAAATAAACCCCCTTTTGGGGTCAAACAGTATGTACAAATAACTAACTCCACGCGTACAAAGTCGCGGCGGGCGGTAGCTTTTAATAAAATTGCTCACTTGGTTTATTTTTTAAGAAGTCAAGCAAACCGGATTTCCCGCTATGCCCGCAGTCTTAACAAAATAATTTAATTTGAGGAAGTAACCTCCACTTTACAGAGGACTCAGTTAAATAACACTAATTTTTGGTTGCGGTGCTGTCTTCAATCGATGGGTAAGGTTCTAGGGCTCCACAGGGCACAAGATGGGTTAATATAGAGGATAGTTGTCTTTAATCGATGAGTAATATACAGGATATACGAGAAGAATAATTACATAACCACTTTACGTGTAGGGGGTATCCTAAAAATGTTTTTAAGATTTTACTCCACCACTTTGCCGGCGTAAGTTTGTGATATCCACGATAAATTACACATTTCTTGTTTAGAGATTTAAATCTCTGGCTAGAACGGCTTGGGAAATGGCAGCACTCCGCGTACGGGCAGAAAGACGGACTAAAATGAACGCAATCCTAAACAGGTCGAATTGCGGCCAAACGGCAAGAAAACAGGCTAACATTTATCAATACAAACAAATATCTAACCATCATTGGTTGAAATCGCCTTTTGTTATCGGTCGTAGCCCCACGCTCTCGCTTGCACAAGCAAAAAGTACTGGCTTGCTTATTTCAAATCGGGATCTTAAAAACGGCAAATATATGGAATATTTATTTACTTATATTACTGCATTGAATATTATATATCTTCCGCCTCTATCATCAGATCCTTGGTATCATTTAGGACAATTGACTTGGTCACGATCCTATATCAGCGAAAGTTAGTCCTTCTGTCGTCGAACATTTACTTAATTGACGATCTAACAGGAATTGTCATCACGATCCTTGCGAGTTTGCTAATGAGACTTCGATTATTATCAAATAACAAAAATAGAATCTAGTTTATGGTATTTTAACCGACTTTATAGAATGGAGGATGTTCTCAATCCTTCAAGCCTTGTTCACAGGATAAGAGTGACGCTCTTATCCTCTAATGCGCTTTGAAATTTACTATATAAAATTTAATTCTTGCGACGCATCAATAGATCTCAAATTTCATTTGTCGTCAGTGCATTCGCCCGGACAGCTAGGGGTGCAGGTTCGGATCCCGTCTGCTGCCTGGTCCGCGTGGAATTTTTCTAGTATAATTTTCTTTAGATTTAAACATCTATCAGTTAAATGCTTAAAAAATAGAAAAATACAACAATAATGAGTCATCCTCACCAAACCTCTTTGTTCGAGGGGGAATGGTAGCCATTAGACATGTGCGCCTACTACAATTTAGTTGGGGGCGGCGCGCCGGCTAAAATGACCCGGCAGCGGCGTGACTTTATTTTTGTAAAAAATAAAAGCCAGGGATTCGTCGTCATTTTCTTGACTTAAAATATCTGTCCCTGTGCTTTATATAGTAGTCTTTACTACTATTTGACGGACCTACTTTACTAAGCTAGAAAACAACAATAAAAATCTTTCTAACCCGTTTTTTTTAATAATGTATTAGATAATTGGTAACCTTTAATTCAGCCTTATCAACAATAGGGTATTTTCCAATTTTTTTAAAACTGCTTGTATTTAAAGATTGGGACAAACGATTTAACAGAAAAATTAAAATTAATAAATTAATGTCTTTTTTTCACCATTAAACCAATTAAAGTTGAATTTAACGCCAAAACGCTCAGTTCGATGATATCTACTGTGTGACGTCAACTTTGTGTAAAGAATTTTAACACCTATGTAGTCTGAGGACGATCTGTGATTACGGAGTAATTATATTATTTGACGATTTCTTTTCTTTTAAAATATTTTGTGTAAGTATTATACAATAAATTTATCCCGAACGTAAAAAAAAGTTAATAATCATCTGACCTTCAGTTGATAACATAGCATACACAAAGTTGACGTCATCGAACCGAGCATTTTAGGGGTAAATTCAAAACCATTAAAATTTAATTCAACTTTAATTGGTTTAATGGAGAAAAAAAGACATTGATTAATTTATTTTTATTTTTCTGTTAAATCGTTTGTCCCAATCTTTAAATATAAGCAGTTTTCAAAAATTTGGAAAACACCCTATTACAAATACTAGGTCAATTGCCGACGTGGGGCAGGCCGTACAACGAGGTCAGAAAGGGTATGGGTCAGCAGTCCCTTTCACTGGAGGATATGGACCCGGACCTCCTGGCACGCAAATTTTTTTTCCCGGAAGAAATACCTACCACCTCTCCGTTATTGACTCTGCCACCAGAGGACAGGGCCATGGTTGCCGTGCCGATTCCGCCGATCACTGATGCGGAGCTGGAGACAGCTCCTGACCACCTGTGAGGCAAAAGAAAGGCGCCCGGCCCGGATGGAGTGCCGCGCGTAGTCTTCCCTATCGCCCTGAAAGATCTGGGTGAGCACTTCATGTCACTGCTCGATGAGTGCCTTGACGTGGGTGTGGTTCACAGGACGTGCAAGAAGGGAAGACTCTGTCTACTGCGGAAGGAGGGCCGACCTGCAGACCAACCCGCTGGGTATCGTCCGATCGTACTACTGGACGAGGTCGGCAAATTCTTTGAGAGAATAATTTCCGACCGTTTCGTCCAGCACCTGGAGGAGACCGGACCAAATTGTGCGCCCTGGCAGTATGGCTTCCGCAGAGGTAAGTCCACAGTGGACGCGGTGCAGGAGCTTAAGTGGTTGTCGGAAGAGACGATGGGGAGGGGGGAGAGTGTTCAGACAAAAGATAATTCGTCTTGCATATTGTTAAATAATAATGTAAATAAAAAATACAATTTTGTTAATATAGATAAAAAAAACCCATCCAAAAACATTGCAAAAAATGTAAGTTTTATCAACCTGGTGCATCTTAATATTCAAGGAATGATGGGTAAGGACTTAGAAATTGAATTATTTATGAATTGTAATAATATAGATATTTTTTGTATTACAGAGCACTGGCTAAAAAGTTATCAAAATATATTTAATTTTAATAATCATCAGGTTGGTAGTTTGTTCAATCGAGAAAATGCAATTCGAGGTGGCTCTTTAATATTATTGAATAAAAAACTAAAATTTTAGGAACGAAGAGATATTGTGAGCTTCTCGGTTGAGCGAACAATAGAAATTGCCTATGTGGAACTGGACCAGCTTGTTGTATTGAGTGTATACAGACCTCCATCAGCATTGTATGATTGTTTTGAAGTTATCATGGATGAAGCTCTTAAAAAAACATACACTACAGGCAAACGGTTGATTGTCTGTGGTGACTTTAATATTGATTTATTAGAAAAATCTAGTTCATGTA